ACCAGAGTTTCAACGTCCGTTCCCACTGTAATCTTGTCTGATTGCGCCACCACCATCTCGTCGGAGAGAATAGCTGCTCCCACTGTGGTCACCATCGTCTGTAGGGTCGAAAAATTTAAGATTGATTGATTCTCTTGTTTTAAAAAAACTGGGTTCGATCGCTTAGTACGAACCCTTACAATCACTCACTCTCTCTCGATTACAGAGGAAGAGAAGATTAATTCAGCTTCTCTTTTATTTTTAAGGTGGGTTCTAGGTGGCGAAAGGATGCTTCCCCCGATACTTGAGTCGAGCTTGCCTCCCGTTGACAATCAGACCAAGATCGTAAGAACTTCTGACGTAGGTTAACCGGCTGGAATCGAGGTTCGGACTCCGGATTGACGTGCAGAAACTTTAAGCTCTGATGCTTCTCTAAGTCCAAGCTTGAAAATCTCCAATCAAGAATAATCAACCCCTTTCTCTGTAGCCATCAATGGCTATTTATAGGAGTTCGAGCACGTAACCGACGTGCTATAATCGTGGAGTCGTGGGCATAACTGATGTGCTGAACTTGTGGAGTCGTGTCGTAACTGACTCCTGGAATCTAGCCTACATGGCTGACTGGATCTTCGTGACCGTTACAGCCAGATTTAATATGGGTGACGAACTTCACTGCGTTGGCGAACCTCATCCTTGATGTCGAGCCTCACTGCGTGGTGAGCCTCGTCTTTGATGTCGAGCGCCTCGTTACGTGGCGAGCCTCGTCTTTGATGTCGAGCCTCGCTGCGTGGCGAGTCTCGTGAGCTTCTTTAATAATGAGCTTCGTCTTCACGTCGAGCTTTAAATCTGATGACAAGCTTTGGTTTTATTGACGAACTTCACCTCCTGTGATGAACTCCGAACCCTCGTATCTAATGACGAGCTTCGAACCTCATATCCAATGACGAGCTTCATCCTTGGCAGCTAGAGTTCAACTCGTGTCCAACGGCGAGCTTCGAACCCTGTATCCGCTAGTGAACCTCGAACCTTGTATCCAATGACGAGTTCTGACTTTCGTGGCTCCGTTTCATTCAATAATGAACTTTATCTTTCAACGTTGAGTTCCGCTGCATGGCGACTCTTGTTTTCGAGGTTGATTCTTTTCTAAACGACGAACCTCATTTCTGATTGAAAAAGGGTTCGTTTACCTGACCTCTCTTTTCATCTTTCGAATTTTGGCATTTTTTAATGTCTATAGTCTCAGCCAAGACCGAGACACGAAGACTGTTTCAAGCTCGAAAATGCTGTTTTTCCCCGTTTCTTCGCTGTTAACTGCTCTGATTCTGGTAGATCGTGATCCAGAGCCTCTCCAACTGATTTGAAGCTATCTTAGAATGTGGTTAAATGGATACAACTAAGGATAAGATCAAATCGGCCGTTCTTATCCGAAAATAAAGCCTCTAAAGCCTATAAATACAGCCCTAGGGCCTTCATTCACACGGATCCGGAATTCTCGAGCCTTGGTGATACGAGTCGCTGTGCGAGCACCCTTTGGTCGTGGAATTACCAAAAGGTGGGTTGAGAAGAGGATGACCAAAACACAAGAACAACTCAGTATAAGGTAAAGGAAAATACCTTCTCTAGATTATAAAGAACAAAAGATTACAATCTCTCCCTCACAATCTCACTAGAATCGAGAACAACCTCTCAATCCTCTCTAACCCCTAATCTCTCTTGTTTAGAATCTCTCTTGATCACTTCTCTCTGAGATCTGATTATTTAGAACCCTAAAACAATCCTATTTATAGATGTGCAAACGTGGATGACAATCTTGTAAATAAACAAGCCCAAAAGAATCAGGAATCCCTGTCAAAACAGAATCCAAAACGAAACAGGAAACCTAGAAATCGCGATCCGGTCGACCGCCAGGCTTGGTCCGGTCGACCGGCCAGAGAGTTTTCTCAAACCCTGCATCGTGCAGGTTTTCCGGTCGACCGGCTTGTGTGCTGCAATCGACCGGCCAAAGATCTGCCAGTTTACCCTGTTCTTTTGCGTTTCGCTCTTGTTGACTTCTTTCGCCGTCTTCTTTGGCTCCATCCATGCTCCTATTCCCAAGATACGAGAATCTCCTATCCTCAAGCTCCCATGAGGATCGCTAAGCTCCTGAAGAGAAGATACACCCGTATCATGGGTCCCCCCTTCAGAAACTTGAAGTCCCGTTCAAGTTAGAACTGAAACTGAGGGAACTCGTGAGCCCCTCCTCCTTCTCTGAACCACCTGGCCTTGCTAGGAATCTGATCTCGGCGTCCGATCGGAAATAACTCATTCATCCCGCGTCTCGTCGTAGTCACTTCTCGCTCCAAGTTGCAATCCTTAATCGATGGCTTTTCTAGAAGTCTAATGCACAGCGAGACAAACTTCTTGCTTGCATTCACTAACCTCTTCGCTCGCGTCACCGTTCCCAAGCTTGTCTCCCTCGGAAGAGATGCCGAACGAAATATAAACTTTTCACCACCTTGGTGAATGTATACTTCTGAGCCCGCCTCTCGTAGATCGCATATCTATCCCATAAGTACGGATTGCCCAGTATAATCTGACAAGCATCTAATGGAACTACGTCGCATGTGACCTCGTCAATATACGACTCATGGAGTGCAAATCTTACAGTGTATTGATCAACTACACTCAGTTTCTCCTTCTTCTGAATCCACCCCAATGGATAGGGCTTCGGATGCTTGACCTTCTTCAGACCCAGCTTCTGAACTAAGGCTTCGGATATCAAATTCTTCTCGCTGCCCGGATCAACTATGGCATCAACCAAACTGGTCTTCACTTGCAACTTAAGAACAAAGAGCTGCTCTCTCGGGTCGTCGTCCTCTTTCGTGGCCTGTTTCCCCGTCATAAGATTAAGACTGCTATTGGGTTCTGTCATCCCCGGGACTTCTTTCGGACCTTAAGCTATCATGTATGCCTTTTTCTCCTCCTTCTTCTTCAACCCTCTTGGTTTGAGATGAGGATTCTTCTCCTCCTTAAACTGAGAACCACTAGACTCGCCTTCAACTTACTTTGCATCCCCCTTTGCTTCGTTGCTCTTCTTTTGCTTGCCCTCAATGGCAATGGCCTTCACGCTCGCATCTGCAATAGTCTCGACTGTGAATAACCTCATCTCCTTTCGGATGTAATCGCTCAATCCCACCATATACTTCATAAACACGGAATATTCCTCTGTCGCAATGTTAAGGACCATCGCCTGCTGCTGGAACTCCGTAGTGTATTCTTGAACGGTTTGATGACTTTGGCGCAAGCCATCACACTTTACCAACGCCTCCTCACAGGAATCCCACGGATAGAACTGTTTCCTAAGTAGTAGCTCGCTTTGAAACTTGTTCCACACACCGCCTTCGTCTCCTGCTATGCAATAGGATTTCCACCACACTCAACGCATTCCTGAATCTCAACAGTCGCCACGCGCGAATCACTCTTCTCTTTTGACAATAAGTCATAAAGAGAAATACGTCTCCATCGCCTCGATCCAATCATCAAGCCTCTCACCGTCAACACTCCCATCATAAATAGAATCTGCCACTCTACAAACTCAATCTTCGATTCTGTGTAAGAATTTTCTTACCCCTTGATGCACGGGCAGCCTTGCGTTCGTCCTCCTTCGTCGGAGCCCTGAACTCGCTCTCCTCCACAGCGACTCTATAGGTTTCTCTCTATAGACTAGAAAGAAATTCCCCTTTTCGGTCCCTCCTTGGATGAGACCACGAGTTTTGAGCGTCACCCTTCGTACTCGATCTGCTTCTCTAATGCATCATCTCTGCTGAAGTTATCTCCCAGCCATCTTCTCCTTCCTCTTAAATCCTGAACCTTCTCTCCAATGAAATAAGTTATCTCGCAAGCTCTTGTTGAGAGACGAGTTAGGACCATACACAGGATGCCCCTTCACCGGATCTGATGCTCTGATACCAACTTGATATGAGTCGCCGTGCGAGCACCCTTTGGTCGCGGAATTACCAAAAGGTGGGTTGAGAAGAGGATGACCAAAACACAAGAACAACTCAGTATAAGACGAAGGAAAATACCTTCTCTAGATTATGAAGAACAAAAGATTACAATCTCTCCCTCACAATCTCACTAGAATCGAGAACAACCTCTTAATCCTCTCTAAACCCTAATCTCTCTTGATTAGAATCTTTCTTGATCACTTCTCTCTGAGATCTGATTGTTTAGAACCCTAAAACAATCCTATTTATAGATGTGCAAACGTGGATGGCAATCTTGTAAATAAACAAGCCCAAAAGAATCAGGAATCCCTGTCAAAACAGAATCCAAAACGAAACAGGAAACCCAGAAATCACGATCCGGTCGACCGCCAGACTTGGTCCGGTCGACCGGCCAGAGAGTTTTCTCAAACCCTGCATCGTGCAGGTTTTCCGGTCGACCGGCTTGTGTGCTGCGGTCGACTGGCCAGAGATCTGCCAGTTTACCCTATTCTTTTGTGTTTCGCTCCTGTTGACTTCTTTCGCCGTCTTCTTTGGCTCCATCCATGCTCCTATTCCCAAGATATGAGAATCTCCTATCCTCAAGCTCCCATGAGGATCGCTAAGCTCCTGAAGAGAAGATACACCCGTATCACTTGGTGAAGCCCTGCTAAATTGAAGAGTGAGGAGCCACAAATTTCAGAGAGGAGGAAGAGATCTTAGTGAGTTTTTCGGCATAAAGAAGGAGAGTTCGATAGATCTGCAGCCCGATTCATCCATTTTCCCTTAAGATCATACCTAGCTATGATTCTCGAGAAGAGTGTGTATCTCACCTTGCTGAGATATTCACTTCAATTTCTTGACTCCTTTGTAAGTCAACGAAATCTATATTTTGATCCGATCTCTCGGTGATCCACGGATAAACCCCGGCATAGGTAAAGATCTCACGCAAACAGCGGGTGTTAAACGTCCGTTGTGTGTGTTTTTAGAAAGTTGTAATCTTCTGTTTTCATTTTTGTTGAATTCATTGTAACGACTGAAGTTGTGATGAGTCCGCTAATGAAAGAACCGACTTTCCATCAAAACACGCTGGTGACCATAGTGGGAGCCAACAGCCTTGCTGTCAAGTCTGTCGTGCCGCAGCCACTGATCAAGATCTCTGTGGATGAAGAGGTTAAATACGAGTTCAACCAGCAAAAGTTTGAGGAGTACACCTCCTCCTCCTCCTCCTCCAGATCTTCCTTCCTGGCAAGCGCAGGAAGACTACTTCTGTGAAGAAGGTTCATTAGCCTTCAGATCTGAAGACTCAGGGTGACAATCTTCACCCAAGTGTTGTTTAAACCTCCTCTTCGCCATTTGAGGAAACCGGATCTAATGCTCCCTGAAACTCCTCAAAAGTCAAGGAGTCGCCCGTTGAAGGCGCGCCAGTTCTGACAAAGAGGGCTCAATAGAGACGACGCCAACATCTTGCTTGCCAATTCACCAAAGCTCTGTAGTAGGTGGACGAACTCCACTATCGGCGGATATAGAATTCAAAAGGCGCCAAATGGCTAAGCCTTCACCGCAACAAGCAATGTGATCCTCCTCCCAACCGCCGACTAACAAATAGGTTCGTGTCAAACGAACATATTCTACTCTTGAGGCCGTGCACTTCTTGTGCACGCACGGATCCTTGTGCAAAAGTCACAAGAGTTACAAAAAGAAGAAGTGGTCAAACAATCACCAAAATCCAAACTATTCTGGGTGCCAAAGGCCAAAACAGCGCTGAAAACGGCACTGAAGATAGCCAAGACGCCCCCACCTAGGGAGAGACACGAACAGTGTATCTCACCTAATTCCAGATCCAAGGCTTCTTCCCAGCCTCCGTCAACATCCGATCCCACTCCTCTTTCTCCCGCACCTCCGGTGAAGTCCTACGGTAGCGTGGATCTCTCCAAATTCAGAATTCCACTAAAGGATCGCCTTGGTCCTCTACCCGAAGATCGAGGCAAATCTCTTGTTAAGGAACGCTTGGGTCCGCTGAATGGTTCCTGAGCGACTATCCAGATTGGTGATTGTAAACACCCTCCCAACAAGTTGATTCCCGTAACCACCCGCTTGGGGTACGTGTTAAAAACCAGGAGCCCGTTAAGAATAAAGAGAATAAAATCTCTTTTTTCATCATCAGGAAGTGATTTCAACAAATAAAACTTTTCCCGGTTGCTATCCATTATCTTCTCAAATGCATTGAACACTTGAATGCGACTTAAGGTTGGTATTTTTGAGACCACTTGATGAATCTCCTCTCTGATTGGTGGTTTTCTTACTACTTCCTTCTTTCTCTCGTTAAAATACTCACTCACAGAAGCTTCCATCACTGCAAGTGAATCAACTGATTGTTGTATTTATTCATATCAAAATACTCGAGTTCCTCCCAACATATACCTCATTATATGGATATTTAATACGAGAATAAAAACTATAAGATAATCTAAATAGTATATTCAACCATAAAAAATAGAAGCAAATGCATTATGATTCTCATAACATTCAGAGCTTAAACGAAGACATTCATCTCCATGTTCTAATAATACAAAAACACTCATCAGAAACACATTTAAATTGAGTAAAATGCCAAAACAACAGGACACTCACTTCTCATACTTAAAGAATAAAAAGATTAAACATAAATTCTTGCAAGAAGAAAAGATACAAGTTACTAAAATGTTTACCTATCATTTAAGAATGTGATACTCAGAAGTGTGGCAAACGGTTTTAAAGAAATTCAGTTCTTAGAACGAATATAATCAATATAATCACAATGAAGTAATTTGTCCTGTACCTACAAAAACAAAAGACAACATAGAATTCACTACCAAGGCTGGAATTTCTTATTATTTGAAAGATGCTTTCCTTGTTAACTTGAAGTTTGAAAAGTTTCATAACTATTTCACTAGTTGCAAGAGAAAACAACATATCTTGAAACTAACCTTTGAGATGAGAGAATCAATCCTTACTCGAATTAGCTATTAAGAATCCATCAAAATCACCAAACCCTAATACATTCATAATGAAATCATCAAAAAATTAGAAATAATCGGTTAAAAATATTGTTCGGACCAAACCCTAATACATTCATAATGAAATCATCAAAAAATTAGAAATAATCGGTTAAAAATATTGTTCGGATAACATAAACAAAAAATTAGAAATAATCGGTTAAAAATATTGTTCGGATAACATAAACCACCATGAATGGAGGTCACATCCAGAGTATTACCTCTGATCTAGGGTTTTAGCCGCGATGATCACGACCTAAACCCTAGGTTAGATTTAAGGTTTCGATGGAAGAGACAAGAGCATTTACTGCTACAACTCTATCAGTCAGCTATTGAACTCAAAATTACACAAAAGAGAACACTTTTTGATCAGATCTAGTGTGCTGACGTGTCACCTGGCTGAAAGCGGCGGAGACGACGTCGAAACCCTCACCGAAGCTGAGATCGACGACGAAGGGGAGAGCGGGGGCGATGGCGGTGAAGAGACCTTGAGGAGGCATCAGACGGTGGTGAGTGAATGCGACGACGAGAGAGGAGAAGGGGAGAGAGGAGAGATAGAGGTTAGAGAGAACTTGAGAGTCGAGATCGGGACTGAGAAACGAGAGAGAGAAGGAGTCCGGTCGAGATTTGGTAAATAACAAGGGGCAGGGTGGGATTTGAAATATGTGTATTTGGGCTTTTAAATTCTCCTCTCTAAAATAATTTAATTTGTGTTGGGGATGGATTCAACCACCCTCATGCTGCGGAAGCGAGTAAACTCGAGAGAAACCCTAGCTTAAGTTCACACAAAACTCAAACCAACCAAATCAAGCAATAGCGTAATAACAAAACAATAAGTAAATACACGAGATGCAGAATTTACGTGGTTCGGCAAATTGTCTACATCCACGGAGGGGTGCAAAGAGATTCCACTATGAGGAGAAAACACCTGACAACTTGTACAACTCACAAGCTCGTCCCAAAGAGATAAAGCTTCGATTTTTACCCAAGAAAGAACAACCTCTTTATTGTACAATCGCTCCAAGCAAACTCTCTTTCTGTCTCTCTCTCTCAAGTTCTCTCTAAACTCTCAAGAATTCGTATTGCATAACCCTAGAAACATAGGATTCTAATATATATCAAACAACAATCCCAAAACGAGCCAAGAAAACAAACTGGGCTTTTGCTCGACTCGTGGTCGACCGTGCTTGAGGCCGTGGTCGACCGCGCTTGAGGCCGCGGTCGACCGCACAAAACGACGACTGTGCTCTGAGTTCGTGCACGTTTACGGTCGACTGCACTGATGTCCACGGTCGACCGCACAGAATGAGTTTTTCTTCGCCTGCACGAGAACCTTCCGCGGTCGACCGCACTTGCGCACTTGCCGTGGCGTTCGACCACACAACGTGTTCCCTGTTCCTCCTGTTTTTCCTGCTGCTGACTTCTACCGTCATATCTTCTACAATTTGAAATCTCGGTCCAACTTAAAATCCAAACTAGAGATTTGAATTTGAAATACCCTAGATTTTAAATCCAGAGCCCAAATCCAAGTTTCCAAACACAGCCTAGGGGAATACTAAATTGATAGATACTTGAGATTTGAAATGTGATTTCAGGAAAATACCAAAGAGGTGGTAGTCATATATGCAAAGAATACGAAAAATTGAAGTTTTATTGCCCCGTTAAAATAGCGCAACAAGTAACGAGACCAATATAATAAAAGTGTAATTGGGTATAGACTCATGGGCCTCGTAAAAGCCCAACGATTGCCAAAACAAATGAAAACCCCAAAGAAAAGCACCCGCGATTTGTAGGAGTTAAACAAACAACAACTAACTTACTAACAAGACCCAATGTAATGAAATTGTAATTGGGTGTAGAGTCACGGGCCTCGTAAAAGCCCAGCTACTGGGTAAACAAACAAATGAAAATCCCAAAGAAAAGCACCCGCGATTTGTAGGAGTCGAGAGCACTGATGTACCCAAACAAAGACCTAGCGGCCACTTGCGCCGCCCGCGACGGCGGCGATGGAATCGGTGGTGAACGATCTCGTCGCCTCCCTGAATCACCGGAGGCTTCATCGCGAGGTGATGCTGGCTCTTCGATCGGGGATCCGCGATTCATCGGCTGATTTCTCCTTCTTGAGGCTAAAAGGACTTCGGAATCTACTCAAATCTCTCAAATCAATCGCTAATTCTGATGCTGCTATTGGTCTCTTTCGCCAATCGCAGACAATTACTGAACTCCAAGGTATTATTCGTCTGGTATTCGCATTATTCGTTGGCATTTTAAGGTTTTCTTGCTATTTGGCACAAATTGAGTTATAAGATCCAATAGATAATACTTGATGACTATGACCCAGACTTGCATTGTGGCCGTGTACTAATTTAATTTATGTGTAACTAAGTGATCAACCATAACTTATTCATTAATGAAATTAAATTTGACTTGTGTTGGTGTCTTATAACTTTGTGAACAGTTTGAAAGTCACTTGTGGCCTGATAAGGTTGCAGTATTTTTAGTAATGCACTGTTCTAACTGCTTTCTTTGTTTCCCATTTAATGATATTAATGGATTTCAATCCTCTCCAACTAGGTGGTGATTGGAGAGGGTCCGATTACCCTAATCCTTAACGTCCATTTCAATTTCAATGCATGAGATGATGCCACCACGTAAGATTTCCAGTTACATTGGGAACCACTATTGCATTGAAAAGCACATAGCTATACCAACCGCATTTGCCTTCATTTTCTTGATATTTCTATTTTGTTTTACGATTATGGTAATCGTTCATGGGGATCCTTTGAATAATAATGTTAACAAAAAAATTACCCAAAATGTTTGGCTACTAGTATACTCGATATAAAAGATCAATTTCTAAATTAGGCATTCCATTTGTAACAGTGGTTCCAGTTCTTTTTGAGAACAGTCTGCGACAATTAAAAGATGATCCTATTGTAAAGCTAGATCGCATCTTCGGAGTGGAGCCTATGAAGATAAACAGTCCTGCTACTGACTCTGAAGTCGCTCTTGCTCTTAGGGTTTTGGAAGGATGTTGTCTTCTCCATCGTGAGAGCATAGATCTGGCTCACAAGTATAAGGCAATAAAGGTATGTATCAAACTTTATACTTACTTCCAGCCCATTTCAGTTGGATTTATGTCTATTTTGATATTTTGTTAAATTCTTGGTTATTTTACTTTTGATGTCTCGTGAAGGAAATGACTGCTCATCAATCATCATACATTATAAGGTCATTGTGTTGGTACCATAATTAGCTAATTTCAAGGTCTAGACCATCATATCATACATTTGCTATGTGTTGAATTTTGTCACTTACTAACTGTTAATACTCTTACGAGTTAGGCATCGCCTGTCGCTTTTCACCTCTATGCATTTTAGAAGTTAATTTGTCTTTACTTTCTATTATTTCATAGTCATCATTATGCGGTATGTCCAGTGTTATTGAGGTGCAAGGCGCAATGTGAGGCGCAAAGGTCCCTTACGCGCACCATGCGCAAGGCGCACAATGATGCGCGCGCCTCACTGAATTGAGACACACAACTCAAACTAATATTTTCCAACATAAGACAAAGAAGCATATAAGCAACATGTTTATAAATTTACAAAAGACTAAGAAATATAATTTTACCTACTAAATCACGAAGAGTTTTAATTAGCACGTATAACATAGAGAAGTTTATAAGTTTTCACAAATCACAATGTAAGATAATATCCAACATGAGCAAAAGTCCATGAAACAAAAGAAGCAAGTAGCAAAATAACAGTGTCTAGTCATCCTCATCATCAACGTCATCCAACTGAAGTGGAATTTTCTCATCCTCAATTTCCTCTTCTTCAGTGAACTCTTCTTCATCCTCCGAGACCGGCTCGCTCCTCCTAGATGACGAAGCAATACCACTTGAAGATCCTCAAAATTATCAAATTTTGCTAACTGAATTTTTAAATAACAAAAAAGAAATATATTAAATGACAAAAAATAAATATATATGCAATTAAGTGATTAACAAACATGAAAAGAAAGAGTCTAGTGTGTAATTAGCAATTAAGTGAAGGCTTTGCATAACAAAAGTTCTCAAAAGAAGTCTAATATGAAATAAGAAACAGTCTATTACATGATGTAAATATGTAAATATGTAAATATGTAATCATATAAATTATTTTCAAAAAGAAAAAGAAGAAATCAAAAAAAGAGAAAAACTGAAAAAACTAACCTAATTTCGCGGTGGCAGCGGCGGCGGCGTCAGTCGGCCGGCATTGTGGGTATGGATGTTGGAGAACAGTGAGAGAGAGTTTGAGAGACAGTCACTGTGAGGATGGAGAGAGAGAGGAAGATAGCTTGAAACCCTAAACATAGGTTATATGAAATTGACGGCTACGGACACGAAACCCGGTGCTGTTCCGATAACCCAATCAGTGCGCAATCGGTGGCGTGTTAGTGAGTTCGTGGCTAACGCAGGCGCAGACACACGAGTAGCGCATAGGCCAGGCGCGGGCGCCTGGTGGCTTTAGCGCTGTCCTCTGGTGCGGGGCACATTTGCTGCAGGCCGCAGCGCTTGGCGCCTGGAGCGCGCCTCAATAACACTAGGTGTGTCACATGAAGATTAGTGTTTAAACAATATATTTATCATAAGGTATAATTTTATTGTGTGTGCCATATGAATGGCTGAATGTGTTTACTTGTGACCTTTTTTCTTTGATTACTTAGTGATCTTTTCTCTTATTTTATTTTCACCCTCAATATCATCTATATTAGTCAATTTCCCTTTTCAAGATGTGTCACATAGCTATTATACCTCTTTATCTGTGGTACCACTGCATGTTATTGTTTATTCATGTGTTGTTTGTATTATTGCTATCAATGATGTTACCATTATTATGGGTTACCTGTCATGCACTTTGGCTGATGATACAAATCCAAAAGAAAATTAAGTATCATAATTGCTTGGCATCTTTCATTTATTTATCTCAGTTATTTCATTTTTTAGGGGTTATAGAAATGAATTTAGGTTTGATCGACATACAATGCAGGCTTTGATGAAAATTGACAAATATTTTGCATGTTATTTCTCCTCAAAACACTTCCACCAAACCCCCAACATCTAAAAAACACACCCAAACAATGGATGAAAAAAGGAAAAAGATGGGAAGAGTGGAACTGCACTCTGCCACAGTACCACTATTTCATACTTGCACACGTGCACATCTGAGAGAGAATCAGAGAAGCATGTCCCAAAAGATCCCGATCACATATTTCATAATGAACCTTTCCGCGTAAAACATTCCTCACCAACTCTTCTACCCTTTCTGTTTCAGTTTCATATATCTTAACTTTTTATTTTTTATCCCATTTACCTTTTCTGGTTCAGCCACTTAGCTGACTAGCCTTTTCTGATATAGAACTTATCTATTACATGCTTGTTTCCATTTCTACTATTGACATTTTGTATGAGCCTTAATTTCAAACATCTCTTTATTTGGATCAGGATCTACAACAACATCTAGAAAACTTTTATCTCAAATAATTACACTACATGAATTCTTTTTCTCCAATCTCTGTTGAGAATCATCACTTTTGTTTGATTAACCACTATCATTTCATTTCATTACCTCAGTGGATGTTCCTTTAGGCCTGCCCACTCAACTTGTTGCTCTACTAACTATTCTCCTATGCTATGCACCTTATTGATCCCCCCTGGATCTTCCAACTGCACAAATTCATGGTTCTCTTTTACTTTATTCTTATTCGGAGATACCTTCACTTATTAGAGAGAGATTTATTTCTTATCTTATCTGACATTGCCTTGCTCTCATCAAGTTTAGTTGCTCTCGCTCATTTTCTGCACATGTGTCTTAATTCCAAAATCATAAACAATGCTAGTCATATTAGGTCTTAGAACTTTACCTCCAAATCTCAGGGATGTTCTATGAACACAAGATCACATATCTATGTTAAACATCCCAGTTTTTTTGATGAAGAATATAAAATCTAACTGTCATGATGAGTACTGTTCAAGTAGCGAAGGGGTCATTTCTGGGTACTTTGAAGCCATCAATTTCATGATTTATTTATATCCTCATTATATTGTTGTATGCTTTCAATATATTCATTTTATGTTTTATCTTCAATAATCTTTGGTTCTATCTTCAACGCTACGATGGTGTCATAACAATGATGATCAACCACTGACAATTGTTTGAACTGCAGGTTCTTTTAAACTTATTATCAACTGGAGGAGTGCTTTTGCAGGGGGCATGCTTAGATGCTCTAATATCTTTAATGTTGGATTCTTCACCCAACCAGATGGTATGATCTCCCTTATATGTATATTTTTAACTAGATAGATTTCTCCAAGAATTCTCTACTCTTGAATGTTAAATGTAAAACATAAGCAACTCAAATATTTTGACTCGTTCTTGAGGCCATACTTGTGATGAGCAAGTATTGGTTCCTGATTTTTCACAAATGTTTTACACAAGTTACTCTGTTCTAGACAAAGTAAAAAAGAAGTATTACATAGAAAACAACACATTAGTTCATCTGCAATATGAGGTTCATGAAACAGAGTTCTTGATATATTCATGTCTTTTACTTTAAAACCTACACGTGAAGAGTTGCATCAAATATGCTGACTTGATCAATGTTTACCTCAGAAATTACTTGAAGTTGCTCTTTTTTTTGTTGAAGTATACTTTCTTATGCTTCAATTGCACACTTGAAAAGCTCTTATTTACTGTAAGATACATTGTGTGATAACACTGATTAGAGCGAAGAGAATATTGTATAAAAGATTGGCATAAGTATCGGAGTGAGAAATATTCTGAGAAATATACACTAGCAAAAGAGGAAGCAAGAAGAGCAGCTACTGAGTCTAAATATGAGCATTATGAGAATTTAAGTAAGAAGTTGAACTCTATGGTGGATGAGAGAAAGAAAAATATTAGGACCTAGATAATATTAAATGTGTTGAGTGAAGATCAAAGAATTTAGTAAACGAGGAGAAAATTAAAGAAAGGTGGAGGAAATTTAATGATAACTAAATAGGAGAAAAATAGGAGAGCATACAATAAAATAGGGGATAGAAAATGTAGATATTGTAATAATAAAAAGAAGGATTAGTGAGTTGTACTCTTAAAAGTATGCTTAAAAACTAGAATAGAGTAAGAAAGTACTGAATCCATGCTGCACCTTTCATCCGCTCATTAAAGCAGGTCTTCATGTCCTTGAAGCATGGTTTTAAAAATCGACCGATAATCCGATATTATCGCCGATTTCTTGGATTTGGGAGCTTTCCGTTAGGATAAGTAGGATTTTTAATCGGTTATCGTTTTTATGGGTTTATCTGCGAGTTATCGGCGATAAAGGCACTTATCGGCCAATAAGGGAGGCTGAAAATATCAGCTTTATGGGCGTGAGTTTTGAGTTGAATTGTTGGGTAATGGGTTGTTACTTAGTGAGTTCTTAAACCCTACCCGAGTCGCTTTTGACAATAAAATAAAGTTTCTAACTTCAAGTTCAGCTCTAATTCTTCATGAATCTCTCTCCATCTCTGTGCGGCTGTTCTCCGAGTCTCTTCAAACTCCATCGAGCTCAAGATCTCTGTTCCCCTCTAACCCATTGATCTCGTCGCTCGCCTCCCCGACCTCGAAGCTCACGTCCGCTGACGTCGCTCGCCTCTCCATATATCACTTCGATAAATACTACTTATCCCCGATATATCTCCGATTTTCGCTATCTGATAAGGATTTTGACCGTCCGATAAATCCCTGATAACCGATATTTAAAACCTTGCCTTGAAGTGTGCTCAAGTAGGGTTCAAGTCCTGAAGAGGGTGAGCAGGGCTTCAAATCTGTGAAGTGATGGAGGGGCTTTTATGACAGTTGTTGGTTGAAGCAAAGCCCTTGCTTGCCTGGTTCCGGTAAAGTGGAGCTTTAGTAGTATTTTACAACAGTTGTCTTCTGTGGACAAAGTAGTGCACACTAATTCCCATTTCCCAATAAGTAATATAGTAAGAAAGGAAAGGGAGAAAAACTGCAGCATACTGAGTATTTTGGAGAAGAATGACTTAATTAAGAATTGATCGTCATCAAAAGCATTTACTGCATACAAATGGATCCAAAACCATTAAACTAGGAAGAACTGAGAATATATTTTAGGTACCATATGTCTGATGGTTATCTAATGGTTGCTGAAAGTCATATTCTTCTTTCTTCATTTTTAACTCTTTTGCATGCAAGTCAAATTGTTAGTCTAATGAATTCGTGAAGCCTTTTTGCTAAAGAATTACATGTCTGTGTTTGTATGCTAATCTAATTTTCTTTTTTTCCTTCGCATGTCAATAATTGCTCTTGATTTATTTGCAAATGAGGGTTCATGATTCATTGATTGTCGAGTAGGAAAAGAGAAAAGAAAAACCATTCTTTTAGACTGTTGTGCATGTGGAATTTTGTAAAACCTCCACTTTCTGGTCAATCAAATCAAATTTTGTTTCTTCCTGCTGCAGGATTTTCAGAAAAGCAATGGCATTGAGAAAATTGCAGACTTTATAAAGAATGAGCAAGGGGATGAAAGCATAAGGTTTGTTAATTTGCTCTTATATCTATCCCCTACATGCTTATTTTAATTGATTATTTACTAAGCCAATACATTCTTTTTGTTTCTAAAGTTAACCTATGTGTAAAGATTAAAGTAATATTTTATAATTACGTACATCATTGGTGTTTAGCATGCCTCCGAATTAATTTAGTGCAATGTCATTTGCAGTTGACACTTGGTAGTTTTGGTACTAGTCATCTCCAATTTCAAATCAAGAAAATGTTTCATGCAAAATTACAAAAGCTATTCCTTATTTGTCTTTCCTGTAGGATCTGGAACATGAAAAAGGTGGTTTACCGTCTGTCCGGTTAGGCTCCATTGTGTCACTCATCAAAACTAGCCATTGCCCCTTTCTAAATGAAACAGCTCACCCAACCAAATCTCTGGTGATGTACTAATCAAGAATAAAAGTTATGACGTTGTGTTTCATTTACAATTTAAAAACTAGGACAAAGATAGGTCCAGAAGGTAGACTGACTCAGTGGTGGAGGCAGGATTTTAGTGAGAGGTTCATGATTGTGTTGAAAACTTCAAGTCCTGTATAATTAAAATTTAAATTATTATAAATATGTTATTTATGTTTGGTAACCTCTAATTTGGAAATTTATCATGAAGAGACTTTATTTGGAAAAGAAAGAAGCTGCTCTTTGTGGAATCTTAGCAAGAAACATATGGAAGATCCTAACATATTGAAAAAATTGGGCAAACTCATAAAAAGAGAAACTATGGAGCACATGAACTTCAAACTCCATAAAATTGCATTTTCAGATTTTTAGATTGAAAATGTTATAGATCTAGAAGTATTATACTCATCTTTCTTTCCGAATAATGGACTATGAAAGATAATTGATAGAATTAACTTTCTATTGTCAATTGATTAGGAAGGAAGAGGATTTTGTTAGATATTTTTTGATTTTTAACTTCGGCTCCATTTATACACTGATTGTAAAAAGTGCATAGTGGAAGTGGTTATTATGATATATACTACTCTACCTCTGCACATGCATTATCTATGTGTTTTGCTTGTAACCGTATTCATAACAAGAAAAAGAATTACATCAGACAAATAATGCAACTAACACTTGGGGGCGTTTTGGCGATTGGATATGTATTTTGGATTATGACAATATAAAAAATTCAGGTAATCTTGAATAATCTGAAACTTTAATTTTGTGTTTGATTTGTTGGATTGTGGAGTTGAAAGTTAGTTTTAAAAAACAGCCTTATCAAAGGCGTGCATCTCATTGTGCCTCATGTCCCTGTGATGTGGGGCAGTGGTGAAGTTCCCTGCTTCTAATGTGGCATTGCCTTTTTGCGCCGCCTCGCAAGAGCCCTACAAGTGGTCTTCGTACATCGCACAGGGCACATGCAAGACATAGACTCGTATTTTTTTTAATATTTCAATTGGGTCTTTACACCTGATAATCCATATCCCAAAAAGTAAAACAAAACTCATTAGGCTATTTTAATAGCCCAATTGAGGATCCTAACTCGTTCCTTTTTACTATTTGATTTTGCTTCGATATTAGTCTTGATTTGACTTTTAATTTGGAAAATTATGAACTTTACTAACTATGTTTTTGAGTTAGCATTATGAGTGAAGACCTTATATTGTTATTTGGTAGTGGATATTATTTATCTTGACATAGGTTTTTTATGTGGAAATTCAAAAACATGTTATTTCATGCTTGAATATCTATCTTGAAAAATTATGTGTGGTGACGCCTCACTTCACACGGGCGCGTGCCCACAGTGTGACTTGCGCATGTACGCATAAACGGACTTTGCATCTCACATTGCGCATCACGCATTGATAACACTGTTAAAAAAAGAGTCTAAGAAGTCTTGTCTGTTTACAAAGAAATTAATAAAGTTGAAAAGTGAATGCATGGATCTCACTAATGATTAATTTTATTTTTACAAAAGTATTTTTAAATTCTTTTACTGATTATGCATTCTCAAATAAATAAGTAAAAAAAAGGCTAAAATATTAAAAATAAAGTTTTAATTTTTAAATTTTTTTTACATATTGTGGACCCCACTTAGTACAAAATCATCCCAATTCCTTCTCTTTTACTCTGATTTCTGACAGCCAAGAAAACTACCTTTTAGCTGTCAACTCGTTCAAAAATCTCCGGTTAAAATCGGAGCACCAAGCAGAAATTTTTGCGGATAGTTATTTGATCCCTGACAAAATTATTGCGGGGCCTGTCATTTTGTACCAGATCTGTGAGGATATCTAAAATATGCTTCTAATCAAACATCCCTTATCCAACGTCTCCTGGTCTTTGTACCCTCTTTGCCAAGTAAATAAGGAATCTGTTGTGTATCGTAGTTTGTGCAACTAGACAAGTTTAACTTTGGCACAATTTTGGTGCTCCTCATTTTCTGTTTGCCACTGCCCTAGCATTTATTTCATTCAGGGATATACTTAAAAGAACTAATGGACTAAGAATGGAGAGAAGCCAAAGTCGAAAACGTAGAATAGTATGGGTAGTAGATCGAACTTTATTGTGTTAATGTTGAGAACAAATAGAACAAGCAGTAAAAAAGGTAAAACGCATTCTACGATTTTAGGGTTTTTAAAAAATTACTCTGATTCACTGTGTAAATGTTTATTTCCATTTTGCAGATTGAAGTGTGGGGAGTTCTTGCTAATACTTGTTGGCCATGTAAATGGAAGAAGGAATCTAGCTCCATTGGCAACCATACATGATGACATAAGGCAACTTTTAGGTGAGGAATCTGCATCTCTGGTATGGGCAGCAAGCCAATTTGGCACAACTTTGGACCCAGAGCAAAGACAAACAGCACTCCAAATCCAAGCTCGGAGAGTTCTGGATTCCATAGAGATGTACTGATGCAAGTATCATTAGGCATCAGATGCTTCGACGTTTTTCTGCGGATTCAGTCCAAAATTTGAGCAGCAAAAATGGGATTTTCTTCTGGCTAATTTCTTATGCCCTTATGATTCAGTCAAGCTCATTATACTTCTGCCCCAGGCTCTCCTGATCTTCTTGCCATTCAGCTCTTCACGTTTACAACTTCTCAGTTAATATGTATTCATGCATGGCGGCTATTTGTGTCGAAAGACGAGGAACATTTTTTATGCAATTTTCAAATGGGATTACGGAATCTGGACCATGCCCTTTATGGAGTTAATCTAACCATGTAATTTGACATTGCATAGTGTTTCTGATGGTAGTTTGTACTTGTACTGACTCTGTTGAGCTTGCGTGGTTGAGTTGTATTCGTGTTCATATATACTTAAACATCCGTTCCACTGAAAAGCTATATTCAAGTTCATCGGAAAGATTAATCCAAGTTCATTAGAGCTGGAATAGTGTAGTTATTATAAAAGTTTGTTACAGTTGGACATTGTTTGTATGTACCACAAAAACTTTTACTTGAATGTGTTTACGGAATAAAGAGGTTTGAAGAATTTTGAACCTCTCTCTGATAAAAAGATAACAAGAACCATGTTTAAGCCCTTTCATTCTCAATCAAAGCTAAAACATATGCTAGAGGGACATTTGATTGTTTGGATCCTTAAAAGGAACACTCAAGGCAAGACAAGAACTGTGTTGATGCCCATCTAAGATAAGTTACAGGTTAAAAAAAAGTAAAATTGCCCTTTATGATTCAAATCAAATGGACATGCTTTTCCGTGACTTTCACATTGTTATCTAGTATCTAACGCAGAAATCCTCCTCCTTAGATTGACTGGTGCAATATTTGAATTTTCTTAGATTGACTGGCGCACGAATTGAATTTTTAAGAGGTTGTTTGAAAGGACTTATATTTTGAAGCATATAAGCTAGGCTAACTTTAAACACCTCTTGACTTTTATGATAAAAATTCTATAAAACTTGTAATGGTTGAAAAGTCAACCTAGCTATTTAGATGAGCTTATAAGCTAGTTTAAAAAAATTGAGAAGCCACCACTTTTTTAAATGTGGTTTAAAAGCTTTAACTTATATAATATAAGATGTTACTAAACATGCTGATATCTATAAGCTTAAAAGTTACTTAAACGAAAAAAAAAACTTCCTATTTGGGTTCCTACTGTACAGTTGGTCGTAACCAAACTGATGAGCGAACCGACAAGGGAAGTAAGGTACAATATTGTAGATGTTCTTCACTCGAAAAACCAAATAGTTGGGACGGATGTTCATCAACCAGCGAAAGCATCCTACACCCAAAATAGTCCTGTTCTTCCTCGGTTCCTCTTCGTCAATAAGAATCTCATTATAAGTACCTGAGAACTAAGGGAAACACTTGAAATACTCCCAGCACTTATGAATTTTGTGCTACTTCATCACCTCATTCCATTGCCTTGTCACCCACTTACACTCTTCTAAGATTTGCAGTAGAGGAAGGTCTGGATCGACAATCTCAAGCGTCGTCATTAGGTCAGGCTGATGAAGGACGAGTCACGCCATCAAATAGGTGTACGACAGCTCTATTTTAGAAGTGGGAATCTCGCTCAAAGGCTTATTCCCTTCTTGTGTGAATGTGGTGGCCAAGTAACAAAGCCCGCTGTGGATATCGACGATCATGACCGGGAGCAAAGCAAGCTTGCGTCCAATCACTAATTGGATGGTTTGGTACAGAACTTCAATAGGTAGTTCTTTTGAAACTTGATGAGGTACAATGCACTTCTTTAGCCATATAGCTAAGTACCCAACTAGAAGAGTCGTCGGCTTAATCTTCCTCTGAGCATGCCACAAGAAGGTCTCGAACTTTGTACCACTTGGAATTTTGCCTTCGGTTGAGCGAGTAGTGTAGGAGTGATCATTAATCTTTGCTATTAGCTTATTGATGTTAGATGGGGTCAAAGGAGGTGACTCACAGACCTCATTGCTAGAAGGATCCTCAAGGTTCTCGAAGAGGTAATCGGTGAATTGCTTCAAGCAAACTTGTGGAAACTTCTTCGGTTTCACATCAATCCCCGCCATAGTAGTTTGATAGTGACAGGTCAACTCCCAGAGAATGTCATGAGTGATGGAGGCCATCTCTTTCTTTCGGTTTAGGTGATAGGTGGTGGGAAAATATTCTTGATAGGGTATATCCCCCATCGGTAATCCAGATACCTTCATTATTTCATGAAGAGGAAGACCTAACTCTCCATGCTTAGTGAGAAAGGTGTTTGTGTCTGGATTATAGATTTCAAACAAGGCAAAGAAATAATCTACACTTATTGGGAGACCATACATGCTGGCTCAGATCGGGGTGTACAATCCTTTATCAGCCAATTCCTTACCCCAACGTCTGAGCACGTAATTGGTCATTCTTGTCCACCATTTATCAGCGGACGAATGGACCCAGCCAAAGCATCTATTGATCTTGATAGGTAGCTCCCTACCTAATCGAGCGAGACAATTCTTCATAGTGTTGGCCTTTATCATCAGTTCATTATGCGACATACTATCTTTTCCCAATACTCCAGGATGAAGTCCACGAATGGAAGTTCGATCACTTGAACCTAGAGTCTTGTTGTCTCTGCTAATGAACCCACAATGTATACGTTCATGGTCTTTAGTCAGACACCAGGACATCTCCCTTGTCACCGCCAAATTCCTGAGTTGTATAAGGGAGTAATGACGAGGAATTGAAGGAAGGAATCTGTAGGCTCCATCATATTCATTTAGCCAATGCTCTGAGCCATAGGAAAGACCCTCGGGATCTTCAACGGAATCACCAAACAAATAGTTTGGTTTCTTCAGCGGCCGAGTCGATTCCTGATCCTTAGTGAGTGGGGCGTCTGTAATCAACTGATGCAAAGTACGATGACTCCCTCACTACACAAGTTTAGGGACGTCTTCTGGGCCATTCGCATCAAATTGAAGAGCCTCCCTGAGTAAAGGTGCCTCGTCAGAAGAAGCATACATGATGCCACTTTGATAGGACACTTCTCTATTAGAAAAGTCTATGGATGGGAAATTAACTGCAAAAAACAAAAGGGAATATATCAGAAGCAGTTAAAGAAAATTTTTAAGGTAAAATAGGGAGGTAAACTGATCTTGCAAACTTGCGAGGCAGAGTCACTGTCTTGTAGTTTGCGAGACAGCCACAACTATCTCGCATATATGAGATAGTGTACATTGTCCTACAGTTGTACACTATCCCGTAAATTGTAGGACAGTGTACCCTATCTTGCAAGTTGTGAGATAGTATGAAACATCCTTTTTGCCTTAGGATGTGTTTTGGCCAAGCAAAACACTCCGATTAAGCGTCAATCCTCACAAAAGAGGATGTTGGCTCTTCCCGAATACCTCGCGAAGGAGAGCAAACGAGGCAAAACCCTAATTTTTTAAATTTATTAAAGGCTAAAATCTCACCCCCGAAAGACGAAGCGGCGGTCTGCTCTCTATCAGATGATTGGGCAACTAATTTGCCCTAGGGAACCCTCGATCTCTTTGGAGACATGATCAAAAGAGGATTTTTTTTGGTTGAAATCTTAGTGGAAAGCTAGGGTTTTGTGGCTAAACTCAAACAAAGGCCCGAGATAACCCAAGATCAAGAACCCTAGTTCGGTTTTGATCAAGGATCGAAGAACACTAATGCTCGGTGAAGAAAAACAAGGAAAGAAAAGTCAAATCATCGAAGAACCTTTGAAACCCTAAAGGGAAATCTTATCTTTTCGATCAAAGATGAAGAAGAAGTAGGAGAAATGGGTTTAATATCTATTTAAAGGGTTTTGACAACAATTCGAACTCAATGAGGTGGTTAAATGAAGCCTCAAAAGATTGAAGTCCTCAAACATAAAAACCCCCGACCCGACAGCTTTCCCTTTGAGCAAGACAGTTGATATTGTCTCGCATACGCGAGACTGTGGACATTATCTCGCATAAAGGGTCTCTTCCAGCATACTTCCAGTGCGTTCGCAGTTCATCTCCGGTGCATTTACGACATTCCTTCAACATATACACGGTGCACCCAGGGTGATGATCTTCCAAAATTGCCCTTGGGAGTCCTGCACACGTTGTTGTAGTTTTCTTTCAAAATTACCTCTGGGAGTTCAATTGGAATCCAGCTACGAGCTCCTAACAAAGATGATCAGTTCAACATCAACTCAATGACACAAGCGAACTCAACCTTTCAAATAGTAACAAATTAGTTCTAGTTCCCGATTTCAACAAATAGTCAGCGACGTCGCATTACCAGAAGTTAAGAAATTGAAGCCACTCATTGGTCCTTCTACAGAGTCCAACGTTAGGCAAAAGCATGGCCTATCTTGTCCAAAGCATTTCAGACTCCTCGATAAAATACTAAGGAGGCTGAAAACTTTGGAGGGGGTATCTATAGGTATCAACAATTACCTATGGGTCCCACACTCAGATTAAATCAGCAAGAAGACAAAGAATGTTATTATCTAAGTCAAAGAAGATCATCCAATCTAAAGGAAAGTACAAAATGCTACGATGAATGAGAATTGGAACTGTCTCATTGCTTGCGAGATAGTTTCCACTGTCTCGCATATGCGAGTCAGCGTATACTATCTCGCATATGTGAGACAGTTTTTACTGTCTCACAAGCATGAGACAGTTTTCCCAGGTCTGATTGGTGCTTTAGTGGGTTTTGTGGGACCTACCTGACTCCGTAATCACGTGAGGAAGTCCACTTACGTGTATGGGCAGTTACATCCTGGAAACACGCCTACTACCCTCAAAAAATGCACCATTTAATACACTTTAAGATAGTGGGGAAGCAGTTACAAAACCCCTGCCATTGTCCCCTTTGGCCGAGACAGTAGACACTGTCTCCCAAGCATGAGACAGTGGCCAAGGGGCTTTTTGCATTTTTTTTTCGTTGGTTATGGTTTTGTACCCCTATATATACTCCCCTACACACTTGTGCAGGATAAGAAGCTGGCATTTGGCAAACTTTGAGAGCAAGAGAGAGTTCTTCATCCACTCCCGAGCATTCTCAAGAGTCTTTTGGTGTTTCCTTGAGTTCGAGCTTAGACTTGATCTTGAGAAGAGTACTTGTCTTACCTTGCTAAGACACTTACTTCAGTTCTTGTTTCTCTACAGAAACATTAACCTTAAGTCTGCTTCGTATTTGACATAGAAATATTGCTCAGTGGTCCACGGATAACGCATCCCCGGTACAGGCAAAGAATCTCATGCAAGTAGAGGCTACTACGTAGGAGTTTTTTCACGTGTTACTAGGGAGCATAATTTTATTTTCTTTGTAAAGAAGAGAGTTACATGTATAAAGCTTATTCTTTTGATTCGTTTAAATGACTTAATGGAAGCTGCAAAGAAAATTATTCCTGAGGCAAACAGTTGCGAGTCGTCTTC